AGAGAGGTTAACTTAAAATAATTTGTTACCAAGATGTAGATGACGACGACCTTGGCTCTGAAATCCCTGACTGCCAGACATGTTCTAAATCACATTAGATAGATGAGTGGGTTTGTTTCTTGAAACCACAATAGCTCTTAATTACAACAAGTGTCAGAAGATGTGAAGATAGCTACACTTTTAAAAAGAGAACGAGACACTAAAATCACATCGTCCCTTTGTTAAACCGCATTTGATTTACATTGACTTTATGTTCCTTTATTTTAATTTTGTTCTCCATGCAGGATCCAGAGGGGACATCCTTGTGACTCAGACTCCAGAATTCCTCTCAGTGTCACTAGGAGCCACGGTCACTATCAACTGCAAAGCCAGTTCCAGTGCTAGCAGCTACATGGCTTTGTACCAGCAGAAACTAGGACACGCTCCTAAACTTCTCATCTACAGCACTAACTCTCGACCCTCCGGGATCCCGGACCGGTTCAGTGGCAGTGGGTCTGGCACTGACTTCACTTTTAAAATCAGCCGGGTGGAAGCGGATGATGCTGGAGATTATTACTGCCAGCAGCATTACACCACCCCTCTCACACAGTGATACAGAGCAGCACAAAAACCTCCCTGCTCTCTTCAGCCTCCCGTCACTGTAGCGAGTGGCTACGCTGAAGCAGAACAGTGGCGCAGTGGCGGTATTTCTAGTGAAGACATAGCCTGTGTTTCTGTTCCTCTGCTGTTCCAGCTGCATCCTGCCCAGTCACACGATCTGTGCACCGAATGCTGTCCACGCGGGTGGGGGGGGGTGTTCGGTCGACCTAACGACGGGGTGTGGATTTTTCACACCCCTGAGGGATGTAGCAGTGCTGCTGTGACTTTTCAGTGTAGACCAGCCCTGTGAAACTGCTGCCCCCGACAGGGCAGATGGGGCTCTCACTTCTCGCTCACTCTCACTCCTCTGTCCAGTTCTTTCCGGTCATTTCTCGACCTTTCCCATGCAATATCCCTGGGGCAGGAACTGATGCTACTCCTCACATTATACTGTAACATGAGCACTCAGCCACTTTTGAACACGTCCTCAAGGTTGAGAACCTTACCAAGAGGTACAGTTCATTTCACTTTTCCTTCTGTTCTTCTGTAACGTTTCTATTGTTGGAGATGCTTCAAAAAATTAGAGAGTGGAAAAAGGAAAATACCCCCCCAAAAGGAGGGGTGGGGAAGGGGCACCTACAAGACATCATTTGTTCTAACCGATTGTGTTCAAAAGGGAGAAAGGGGAAAAGGCCATTGGAAATTTCAGAATTTCAAAATTAAAATTTGGGGGCTGTGAAAACCAAAGCAAAATGATAATTTATATTCACAGTGAATCCAAATCAACATTTTCAGGTTTTGTTTAAAAATTACCCATTGAAAAATCATCAAAAATAATGGTTTTCTTTCCAAAACAATTATTTGACAGAATCCTTTTTCCAGTGGGAAAAATTTTTGGTTGAAAAATTCTAATAAGCTCTACTTGGGACAGCTGCCATCCTGCAGGGTATCTGAACAATGAGCCATCCTCCATTCTGCCTTCTGGAGTTTAACAGGAGGTAACAATTAGGAGATTGAAACAAACTGAGAACTCAATAGTGTAACATTAGCAGCGCTAGATGGTTTTTCCATCCTTTGAAAAATCACACTCTTGGGTATGTCTACACTGCAATTAGGGCCAGAGGTGTGATTGCGGCACATGTACAGGCTAGCTCAAGGAACAACCCGTTTAGTTGTGGCAGCAAGGACGTTGGCATAGGCTAGACGTCCAAGTTCAACCCGCTCAGGACCCTTGGTACATACTTGGAGTAGCTAGCTAGTGCGGCTGCTCAGACTGCCGAAGTGTGACCTTAAAAGTCTTTCGATGTCTCCGAGCAAAGTGTTCACTGTCATGCAACACCAACCCTTAGCTGGCCTGACCAACACATTGCATCTACAACATTGCTATCCTGGTGTTTATCTACAAAGAATGTCGTACGAGGTATCAAATGAAAACTTATGCTGGTCACCATAATCATTGTGTGATGTATATATGGATAGCAATTAAGAAGCTGTATGTTTATACTGAAAATATGTTTTAACCAAGCTAACCAGGCAGGGTTGATAAACAAAGGTTTTCCAGATAAAGGAATGTTGACTTGCCTGTCTGCCCAGGTCTTGAATGTAAACAGTAGCCCTGGGAATTATATTTGCACACTTCTGTCCACAGGAAAAGCAAATTAACAGAAGGATTAGAAGAATGACATAGACAGCATGCTATTTGCCTCCATCAGGGAGCTGACACATAGGCTATGTCTATACTGGCAATTGAGAAAAAACTTTTGTCTTTCAGAGGTGTTAACTCCCCCCCCCCCCCCGAAAGACTAAAGTTTTGCCCTGAAAAGTGCCATTATGAACACCACGCTGTTGGCAGGAGCAGTCTCCTGCTGACAACACAAACGCTGCTTATTGGGGTGGAAGTTTTTTGTTGGCAGGAGAGTTGACAAGCAGCGGCTACACTGCGTGGCTTTTAGCGGCCCAGCTACTGTCTCTTAGGGAGGTGGAGTACCTACGTGTCTTCACTAAGTGCTATGGAGTTCTGGATCGGGTAAGAATTACTCACAGTTATGGCTTGACTCAGCCTAGTTAGTTCTAATGTTATTGACATTATGCCGAATCAATAATGTTATTTATTGATTCTAATAATTATTGGTTCTAATGTTATTGCCATTCATTCTTAAGCCATTAAAATCATTGATTCGGCATTAAGTAAGCAATGCATTCAACTACAAAGACATTAGAATATGGTTTATTTTTACTATATTAATTCCCCCCCTCCTTTTTTTTTTTTTTTTTTTGCCATTTCAGACTCCAGCGGGCACCCTATCATGACTCAGGATGGGAAATCCCTAGCTCTAGGACCAAAGGACACTATAAACTGTAAAGCCAGTACAAGCGTAGGCACTTGGTTAGCCTGGTACCAACAGAAATCAGGCCATGAGCCCTGGAGAGCTCCTTACCTACTATGCTACCTCCCTGCCATCTGGAGTCCCAGCCCGGTTCAGTGTCACTGGGTCAGGCGCTAATTTCACTCTCACAATCAGTAGCATTGAAGAGGAAGATGCTGGAGATTATTACTGTCAACAAAGCTATAGCTCCCCTCTACCAGTGATACAGACACAAACACACAAAAACTCCCTGTACTATTCCATTTCCTTTACTCTGTGAACCAGCTGCTTCATGTACAGACTCACAGTGCCTGTGTTATCGTGGACTCTCGCAATTTTTAGGGAAAACACATTTTCCAGAGCAAAAATACATAGAGGGAGCAATATTGGGCTTTATAGTAGAATGTAGTTGCAACCTTCACTATGGAGATGTTGCTGTCTCCATAATAAATACCATTATAAGTTGACTCCTGTATGACAGCCCCATAGATGCAGATCAAAGATGCTGTATAAGGAAACACTTTTATATTAGGAGATAAGTAAAAACACACTAGAAGGCTGCGGACTGCATCATATGGGTTACAGATAAGAAAATCATCTTAGCCTTGGCTCTCTTGCTTTCACAGATGGATTCAATTCACCACTCATATAAGAACACTACAGCAACGATCCCAGCTCTACAGTTTATACTAGCATCACTGCAGTGTTTTGGATCAGTACTGTAAGGATATTTTCTAAAGGGCAAGTTTCTCTCTTTCACTTGGTTTACACACCACGTCTGTTACTGTTAATACTTTTTTTTAGAAAAATAAAGGAAATTATGTTGCTAGATCAATTCAAATACATTGAGAAATCAGAAGTATATTCACTTCCATTACCTATTCTTCAAACAGGTAAATTAACCTGTGAGGGCATAAAAAAGCTATTCTTTTAACACACGTCTTCCACCACAGAATGTCATTATTGAAAAGTATTTTTGGTGGGGTTCTGAGTATTTGATTTGTTTGCTCACAAAATACAGTATTTCCTTGCCGTGAGCTCTACCCCACTACACCTAGCACAGGAAACAGAAACAGCAGCAAAAAGAAAAGGAGGACTTGTGGCACCTTAGGGACTAACCAATTTATTTGAGCATGAGCTTTTGTGAGCTACAGCTCACTTCATCGGATGCCAACAGCAGCATTGCCTATCTAACCTCTTTAAACAAAAAGCTGAAATTTCACACAACTGACACTAGATGGCCACATTCAACTATCTATCATTTCAGTGGGAGGTCAAGCACCACGCTTAAAAGGCTAACTTTCAATCTTCAGGAATGAAAATAATGGTCTATTATGCAATGTTACATAGAACATGGGAAGCACTGCTACAGGGCTCAAAAACTATTTAATGGAAAACTAGCCGATTCCTCTACCCTTTGGGATTTTAATAGCAGAATAGTCAGGAGATTCAGGGATAAAGTTCCCACAACCCTGTGCATCACTATAAGGTCTCTGAGGTGATGACTAACAAACCCAGTAAGGAAGGGAAGGGTTAGGCCCCCTGCACAGATCCCCTGATGCATGGAGATCGCACCATCAATATCATCTATCTGAGGAGATTCCTAGTATAACAATGATTCCACACTCCTTAAATTTAAATGAGCAGCCAGGCAACACAGGGAGCTGAGAACATTTATTCCCATTCCACACTGACAAATGCCATTTCAACACAAAGTGAGGGACAGTGACTGTAACCTTACATGGGGTTGCTCAGCACCAAACAAAACAGGGTCCTGATCCACAGAGGAACTTCTGGGCACCCCCGTCACTATCATCAGACTGCCATTGGAACACAAACTGAGGATGCAGCCCCAGGACTTGTCAGGTTGAGCTTGTGTATTTCATCCACCGCCCCTTTTACTTCCCTTTTTCTGCATGTTTTTAGGTCAACTCGGAATTTTCATCTCTGAACTAAATTTGCATATTTCACACCTGAGTGACACCGCCCTGCAGCTCTGAGCTGTTATAAATGTTCCATGGCACTCGTTACAGTTTGTTGATGAGCACTGGCCAATCAGACATACCAAGATGATCTCACAGGCTCAGCTTATCTGCCTGCTAGTGCTCTGGATCCCGGGTAAGAAACAAACAAACATTAAGCTATAATGATTCACAGAAAAAAATAAAAGTTCTAGAAATGTTGATTATTTATCAATAAACATTCCTCAGTTATTGACAGTAATTTCAGGAATGCTTGTCTCCTAATTGCAACTGAGATTTGAGAAACATACAAGCAATTGAAAATAATTTGGAATGAAAGAACCACCTCAAAGTTAAAGTTAGCATCATTTTCAGAATGAGGAACTTTCATAAGTATGGAAAGAGGCACATGGGAATATTTATAAAGACAAGATAGTGTGTATTTTAAAGAACTGTAATATTGATATATATTTTATACAAATATTTATGCTGAATGTACAGACTAGAGAATGTACATTCAGACATGTAGACATGTAGACTATACATGTACATACTAATTTATATTCTGTTTGCTATTTCAGAGACCAATGCACAAATCGTGCTGACTCAGACTCCAGAATCCCTGGCAGTTTCTCCTGGAGACACAGTCACTATCCGCTGCAAAGCCAGTTCAAGCCTCACCAGTGGTAGCTATCACTTACTAGCCTGGTACCAACAGAAATCAGGAAAAGCTCCAAAAATGCTTATCTATGATGCTACCTCCCGGCCATCTGGGGTTCCAACCCGGTTCAGCGGCAGTGGGTCTGGCACTGACTACACTCTCACAATCAGCAGAGTTGAAGCTGAAGATGCTGGAGATTACTATTGTCAGCAGTATAAAAGCTCACCTCTCACAGTGATACAGACCAATACAAAAACCTCCCCATCCCGTCCCTTTCATTCTAACAGCTGCTTCCTATACATAATTGCTAGATTTCAGACAGCATTTTGGCAGTCTTACAACACCAGGCCGAGCCCCCTGCTCCCACTGCTGATCTTTCTATAATACTGTTGTCTCTTTCCTACCCCAGTGCCCCACTCCTGACACTAGTGCGGAGTCTCTGCCGAGAAAATGTCTGGTCCTTTCAAGTCAGCTTCTCAGCATAAGAGAAATTAGTGATGTTGAGTTTAAGAATACTAAGCTAAACTTGTTTTATTTACTCACATACACCAGTCCTGAAACAGAGGTGATTAAAAACAGCAAGCAGGCAAACCTCTCTATCAGAATCTCATCCCAATGCACATGACTCCCTCAGGGAACGGATGGCCAGGATCCCCTGGGGGACTAACTTGAAGGGGAAAGGAGTCCAGGAGAGCTGGCTGTATTTCAAGGAATCCCTGTTGAGGTTACAGGGACAAACCATCCCAATGAGTCGAAAGAATAGTAAATATGGCAGGCGACCAGCTTGGCTTAATGGTGAAATCTTAGCGGATCTTAAACATAAAAAAGAAGCTTACAAGAAGTGGAAGGTTGGACATATGACCAGGGAAGAGTATAAAAATATTGCTCGGGCATGTAGGAATGTTATCAGGAGGGCCAAATCGCACCTGGAGCTGCAGCTAGCCAGAGATGTCAAGAGTAACAAGAAGGGTTTCTTCAGGTATGTTGGCAACAAGAAGAAAGCCAAGGAATGTGTGGGCCCCTTACTGAATGAGGGAGGCAAACTAGTGACAGAGGATGTGGAAAAAGCTAATGTACTCAATGCTTTTTTTGCCTCTGTTTTCACTAACAAGGTCAGCTCCCAGACTGCTACGCTGGGCATCACAAAATGGGGAAGAGATGGCCAGCCCTCTGTGGAGATAGAGGTGGTTAGGGACTATTTAGAAAAGCTGGACGTGCACAAGTCCATGGGGCCGGACGAGTTGCATCCGAGAGTGCTGAAGGAACTGGCGGCTGTGATTGCAGAGCCATTGGCCATTATCTTTGAAAACTCGTGGCGAACCGGGGAAGTCCCGGATGACTGGAAAAAGGCTAATGTAGTGCCAATCTTTAAAAAAGGGAAGAAGGAGGATCCTGGGAACTACAGGCCAGTCAGCCTCACTTCAGTCCCTGGAAAAATCATGGAGCAGGTCCTCAAAGAATCAATCCTGAAGCACTTGCATGAGAGGAAAGTGATCAGGAACAGCCAGCATGGATTCACCAAGGGAAGGTCATGCCTGACTAATCTAATCGCCTTCTATGATGAGATTACTGGTTCTGTGGATGAAGGGAAAGCAGTGGATGTATTGTTTCTTGACTTTAGCAAAGCTTTTGACACGGTCTCCCACAGTATTCTTGTCAGCAAGTTAAGGAAGTATGGGCTGGATGAATGCACTACAAGGTGGGTAGAAAGCTGGCTAGATTGTCGGGCTCAACGGGTAGTTATCAATGGCTCCATGTCTAGTTGGCAGCCGGTATCAAGTGGAGTGCCCCAAGGGTCGGTCCTGGGGCTGGTTTTGTTCAATATCTTCATAAATGATCTGGAGGATGGTGTGGATTGCACTCTCAGCAAATTTGCGGATGATACTAAACTGGCAGGAGTGGTAGATACGCTGGAGGGGAGGGATAGGATACAGAAGGACCTAGACAAATTGGAGGATTGGGCCAAAAGAAATCTGATGAGGTTCAATAAGGATAAGTGCAGGGTCCTGCACTTAGGACGGAAGAACCCAATGCACAGCTACAGACTAGGGACCGAATGGCTAGGCAGCAGTTCTGCGGAAAAGGACCTAGGGGTGACAGTGGACGAGAAGCTGGATATGAGTCAGCAGTGTGCCCTTGTTGCCAAGAAGGCCAATGGCATTTTGGGATGTATAAGTAGGGGCATAGCGAGCAGATCGAGGGACGTGATCGTTCCCCTCTATTCGACATTGGTGAGGCCTCAACTGGAGTACTGTGTCCAGTTTTGGGCCCCACACTTCAAGAAGGATGTGGATAAATTGGAGAGAGTCCAGCGAAGGGCAACAAAAATGATTAGGGGTCTGGAACACATGAGTTATGAGGAGAGGCTGAGGGAGCTGGGATTGTTTAGCCTGCAGAAGAGAAGAATGAGGGGGGATTTGATAGCTGCTTTCAACTACCTGAAAGGGGGTTCCAAAGAGGATGGCTCTAGACTGTTCTCAATGGTATCAGATGACAGAACGAGGAGTAATGGTCTCAAGCTGCAGTGGGGGAGGTTTAGATTGGATATTAGGAAAAACTTTTTCACTAAGTGGGTGGTGAACCACTGGAATGCGTTACCTAGGGAGGTGGTAGAATCTCCTTCCTTAGAGGTTTTTAAGGTCAGGCTTGACAAAGCCCTGGCTGGGATGATTTAACTGGGAATTGGTCCTGCTTCGAGCAGGGGGTTGGACTAGATGACCTTCTGGGGTCCCTTCCAACCCTTATATTCTATGATTCTATGATTCTATGTCCCAGGGAGCAAATCTGCCTCAAGAATTTAATCAGAGACTAAGACAGAGAGCAACCTCTCCTGCTGCTGCTCACACAACTCCCTTTCCTCAGAGCCCTGCGTAACCCAAACTAACAATAACCCAGCACGTCTTCCCAAAAGGGAACATCTGCTCACACATTAAGAATATACGTGGAGGACTCTGTGTAACAGCACCACTTGGAGCTGACTATACAATCCTGTCACTAAACTTTGCTGCCAGAGGCTTTTTTTTGCCTGGTAAAGAAGGTTTGGGGGTTTTGGAGGGGTTTGGGTTTTTTTTTTCTGCCAGCCACTGAATTGAGGGCATTTTTTCCTGCATAAACGGCTTTACTCGCCAATTCACCAAAATAATTCTAACTTGTTGCTCCCCAGTTGGGGCATTTCAGGAGTAAAACAGACATAGCCCTCCCAGTGCTTTATTGGCAGAGCCTGAACCAAGGTCCAGGACTCCAGAGCTAGCAGAGTGTAGAAGGGTCGAAGGGGCGTCAAGCTCACCTTCTGGAATGAAGGAACAACTCATGCTACTCTCTAGCGACCCACTCTGCTGGACACTTGGAATAACACGGACAGGAGATATTGACAGTGTCCATCCTTCATTTGATAGAGGGAATGTGGCAGCAACATGGGGCCCTTGAGGGAGCATTTGGGCAGTCGTCAGGTTCACAAGTGGGCTCAGATGGGAAAAAGCACAAAACCATATTTCCTCCTTTAGATGGGGGCACTTGACATGTTTGTGGGGCTGGGGAAGCGTCTGGCACATCTGAAAGAACATCTGCACACGTTCCTCAGATGCTGGTGGCTATTCAGCACAGCTGCTTTCCAGCATAACATTAATTGCTGTGGCTTCCAGCAGGAGCGCCAGTGTTGGAACAAGTGGCAACTTCCCAAATTTTGCTTCTTTTGTTAGGCCTGGAATCACCCTAGAATCTTGCAATTGCTTCATGTGGTGGCACCAGAACGTACTGGGTGACACCTGTACCGTATAAGACAAAGGACTCATTGGTGCACTACCATTTGCTAGACCCCACGTACTGGGTCCCCAATAAATGCACAAACACTGTTTGACCCACTTGTAGCTGACAAGGTTCACTGATCCCTCATGCTTTAGCTTGACTTATTAGATGATTTTGGACTTGTAGATGTAGGTCTGGCTTTAACAAGTCCAAGTGTGGCCTGAGATTCTGGCCGATACACAAAAAGAAAAGACTTGTGGTACCTTAGAGACTAAAATTTATTTGAGCATCAGCTTTTGTGAGCTACAGCTTCTTTGGAAGTGAGCTGTACCTCACGAAAGCTTATGCTCAAATAAATTTTAGTCTCTAAGGTGCCACAAGTCCTCCTTTTCTTGTTGTGGATACAGACTAACACGGCAGCTACTCTGGCCCATACACAGCATTCCAGATGTTTGGTTTATCATGGCATTCACTTACTCTCAATATGCTAGCAAGAAGCATGCCAGTTTCTGCTGTAATGACCCCTTCTAACATGTCTTGGATCACAGCACTTGCTTAAAAGTTTGCACAGACCTTTCAGCCAAGCCATTGGTGGCTGGGTGATATGGGGCTGAGATGATATGTCTAATGCCATTTTTCTTCATGAACCACCAAAACTATTTTGAAATAAACTGAGAACCATTGTCTCTCACGTCTTGTTCTGGCAGTCCAGTAGACCTTGTGCATCAATAATGTGCCCACAATAAGTTATTGAGTCGATGACAAATTTGTATTTTATGCGATTGGCTCATAAGTCATAACCCAGATTCTTCTATACATTTTAAAACCCTTTTCAGAGTTTCCAGATATTCTGCATCACTTCCACCCGTCACAATATCATCATCCAAACACCACCACTCATGGAATACCTTGCAAAACTTGGTCTATGTCATGTAGCAAGAGCTGCACTAGTCTGTCATACTGGTACAGACTCATTTATGCGTTGATTTTGAGGTATACCTTAGACTGTTTCTGAAATTCCAACTGTAGGTAGATGTGTGACAAATCAATTTTGCTGTATCGTTATCCCCCTGCTAGCGTAGCAAAAATGTCTTCAATTTGAGGCAGGCGGTACTTTTGAACATTCAGTTCAGCGTTTATGCTGACCTGAAAATATCCACATGCTCTTACGGCACCACTTCTTTCTTCTTTTTTTTGTTTACAGTTGGAATGAGAGGAGCTCCCAACTCGCTCCAAGCCACTTTTTAAAGTCTGCAGCATCTTAATAGATTTCCAAGCCAAGAGAACCTTATGTAAACATTCACAGCCCCACAGGGCCAGTCCCCCCTTCTCAATGACATACAAGTCTAAAAAACATTGTTTATTGTTATACTCCACTTCACTTTCATCACCCCAATGGGCACTATCTTTGCTCCTGTATATACGTTTTTAGCAACATCGGTGTCTCCCTCAATATGGTATTTTTCAAAGTTTCCTGAGTGTGAGTCAGTAGACACTGCGGGCCTGTGTCCAATTCCATAGTGAGCATTTTTCCCGTCACCCGCAGGGTCAATCAGATCGCTGACTGGCCATTTCTCCTCACGCTAGGCGTATCCAGGCTGGCTACCCCACTCTCGCACTGTGTGTCACTACTGTCTCTGTCCACAGAGTATACATTGATATTCCTTTATCTATACCCTATACTCTTTCTTATTTCTCTCAGCGAGCCAAACAGCTTGGCTATGCCCCTTTTTTTTTTTTTTTTTAATAGCGCATGCAACATGCATGTTTAAATCAGCAGTCACAGGGAGTCTGGAACCCTTTTCCACACCCCTAATATGGGTCTGTCTGCTGAGTGGACTACCTCTTGCCTGGGGTTACAGATAATGTATGCGTTCCTACTTCTGTTTTAGCTCCCATGCCACACTTTCCATTGCTAGTCCAATTTCTACTGAGCCTTTAAAACTCAGATTTTCTTCAGTTGGAAGCCTCTTCTGTATGCTTTCATTAAACAGTTCCCTCACAATTTTCTCTTAGGGTCTCGTTAAGCCCATCTGTCAAGGTTCCCTCCCCACTCTGAACTCTAGGGTACAGATATGGGGACCCACATGAAAGACCCCCTAAGCCTATTTCTACCATCTTAGGTTAAAATCTTCCCCAAGGCACAAATCCTTCCTTGTCCTTGGAAGGGTACTGCTGCCACCATCAAGTGAGTTAGACAAATATTCAGGAAAAGGACCGCTTGGAGTTCCTGTTCCCTAAAATATCCCCGCAAGCCCCTTCACCCCCTTTCCTGGGGAGGCTTGAGAATAATCTACCAACCAAATAGGTAAACCATGTGAGCATAGACCAGACCCTTGGGTTTTTAAAACACTAAAAACTCCAATCAGATTCTTAAAAACAGAACTTTATTATAGAGGAAAAAAAAGGAAAAGAAGCACCTTTGTAAAATCAGGATGGAAGGTAACTTTACAGGGTAATCAGATTCAAAACACAGAGGATTCCCCTCTAGGCAAAACTTTAAAGTTACAAAAAACAGGGATAAACCTCCCTCTTAGCATAGGGAAAATTCACAAGCTAAAACAAAATTTAATCTAATGCCTTTCCTTGCTTTACTTACAATTTTTGTAATCCTAGATCTTATCTCAGGTAAGGTCTTAAGAGATGAGTTTTCCTGCCCCTGGTCCCTCTCTGGCTCTGAGAGAACCCCACAAAGAGACAAAGCAAAAACCTTCCCCCACAGATTCTCCCCTTATTGGTCCTTTTTGTCAGGTGCCAACCAGGTTATTTGAGCTTCTTAACCCTTTACAGGTAAAGGAAGGATTTGATGCTACCCTGAGCTGTATGTTTATGACACCATCCTTAAAAGCACAGTGTTAGGATAGTCTTTTTTAACCCTGTCACCAAGGAGGAAATAAATCCACATGCAAGCTGATTCCACTTGTGAAATCTGAACCTCTCTGCTATAATCAGTACGTTGGATACCAAGTGCTCTTGAGCAAGTCACACTCTCTTGAAGGGTTTTGCTTGTGGGCTCTCTGGGGCGATCAAACTGCGTACAAAACTGTATGACAGATTAGTACTTTACTATTCCTTTTGCTTTGCTCTGTGAATCAGTGGCTTCGCGTACAGACTCACAATGTTTGTGCACCTGCTGCTCTCCATATGGGGACAGTGCTAGGGTCAGACTTCAGGCACCAGTCGGCTGCTTTCTTTTGACTTAATCTTCACAGTCATTTCCCCCCCAGGGGGTGTATAGTCTAACCACTGCTAGCACAGGATGGAAACATTCTTCTTTCATTCTTACGTAACAATATCTAAACCATCAAATGTTCCTTAAAGTCAGAGCATGCAACAGGGAAGGGTTTTCCTGGTGGTTACAGCAAAATCTGAGACCAGTATCTACCACACCACATACGGCTAATAGACTTAAATCCCTTACTTACTCTTCCTGTCTCCTCTATATAAGGCTCTGTCAAATTACAACACTATTCATTTGCCTGTTTGCTCCGATCAGTTGACAAGATGACAAAACCAGAGAGAGAGAAGCAGAGTATTAAATTCAGAACATTTTGGCTGTTAGCTAATTTAAAAAAACACAACTAAGTCCACACAAGAAATCCACTTCCTGGACACTATGGTGCTAATAAGCGTTGGTCACATAAACACCACCCTATACCGGAAACCTACTGACCGCTATTCCTACCTACATGCCTCCAGCTTTCATCCAGACCACACCACACGATCCATTGTCTACAGCCAAGCTCTACGACACAACAGCCCCTCAGACAGAGACAAACACCTATAAGATCTCTATCAAGCATTCTTACAACTACAATACCCACCTGCTGAAGTGAAGAAACAGACTGACAGAGCCAGAAGAGTACCCAGAAGTTACCTACTGCACAACAGGCCCAACAAAGAAAATAACAGAACGCCACTAGCCATCACCTTCAGCCCCCAACTAAAACCTCTCCAACAATCATCAGGAATCTACAACCTATCCTGAAAAATGATCCCTCACTCTCACAGATCTTGGGAGACAGGCCAGTCCTTGCTTACAGACAGCCCCCCAACCTGAAACAAATACTCACCAGCAACCACACACCACACAACAGAACCACTAACCCAGGAACCTATCCTTGCAACAAAGCCCGTTGCCAACTATGTCCACATATCTATTCAGGGGACACCATCATAGGGCCTAATAACATCAGCCACACTATCAGAGGCTCGTTCACCTGCACATCCACCAATGTGATATATGCCATCATGTGCCAGCAATGCCCCTCTGCCATGTACATTGGTCAAACTGGACAGTCTCTACGTAAAAGAATAAATGGACACAAATCAGACGTCAAGAATTATAACATTCAAAAACCAGTTGGAGAACACTTCAATCTCTTTGGTCACTCGATTACAGACCTAAAAGTTGCAATTCTTCAACAAACAAACTTAAAAACAGACTCCAACAAGAGACTGCTGAATTGGAATTAATTTGCAAACTGGATACAATTAACTTAGGCTTGAATAGAGACTGGGTGTGGACGGGTCATTACACAAAGTAAACTATTTCCCCATGTTTATTCCCCCCCTACACCCTCCACTGTTCCTCAGACATTGTCAACTGCTCGAAATAGCCCACCCTGATTATCACTACAAAAGGTTCCCCCCCGCTCTCCTGCTGGTAATAGCTCACCTTACCTGATCACTCTCTTTACAGTATGTATGGTAACACCCATTGTTTCATGTTCTCTATGTATATAAATCTTCCCACTGTATTTTCCACTGAATGCATCCGATGAAGTGAGCTGTAGCTCACAAAAGCTTATGCTCAGATAAATGTGTTAGTCTCTAAGGTGCCACAAGCACTCCTTTTCTTTTTACGAATACAGACTCACACGGCTGCTACTCTGAAACCTAACTAAGGGTCAGATTCTTCTCTGAATTAAGCTGGTATAAATTGGAAGAAAATCCAATGACTTTGGCTCCTTTGAGGAAAACATTCAGATCAACATTCCATCAAAAACTCTCCAGCCAGGAGGCCATTGTTTAGTTTCTGTGAGCTCTATTAACTTGCTAACACATGTAGAGGGAAAGAGACACAAGTACCAGCCAGCAGTTGTCATGGCTAATGAGTTGGTGGTGCTGGGAAACTAAGACCACAGCAGGAAGTGCCTATGGAACAGTCATGTGCCATGAAGTAATAATATTTAGCGTTTCTTTGCTGGTTTCCATGCACTGATCTCAAAGTGTTCTACAGGAAAAGTCACTATAGTTACAGATGGGGAAACTGAGGCAGAGGTGAAGTAACTTGACCAAATTCCCCCAAAGACTTCACAGACTTAATGTAACCTGAGTGAGCATTAACTCTTCCACAGCTACCCATGTGTGCCCTTGGAAGTGGTTGAGGACCCCACGGGAGGCCAGCCAGGGGAAAAATTGTCAGCATGGTCCCAGTGGTTCAGGACTGTGGCAGAAAGCCAGACAGCCCTAGAACCAACAAAGAAGCAGAGTCCCCACCACGCCGATGCCCCTAACCTCCTGTGCATCCCCCAGGCTGTGCAGTGTTCGGGGGCAGAAGCGCTGCTTCTTGCACAAGAGGCCCTGGCAACAGAATGGATTGGAGAAAGCTCTTTGAGAGGGTCCATGCACAGCTTACTTTCACTCCCCATGGAAGGAGATGGTCAGACCCCAGGTATCCTCTCCCCAAAGCTGTCAATCCACCATCTATCACTAGCACAATCCTCACACAAACTTCCTAAATGGACCCAGTTGCTGTTATGGATAATGGCATTTTTCAGCAAGATCTTTAATTGCTTAAATCTCATTCAACCTTAAAGCCTTTCCTATCTCACTTCTCTGCTCGGGGCTATTCCAGTAACTCTAGGTGTGAACTCCCAGAATCCTGATGACCTGTCCATGAATGTGCTGCAGGATCCAAACTACAGAAGGGCCAGAATGGCATGTACTGGAGACAGACTGAGAGCCACATTTATTAACATTTCAAGGAGGTTGGATTCAGCACTTTGGTTCAGTCCTTTAAAGAGAGAGGGGCCAGTTGTAAGAGTCAGCTCCAGATACCCAACCAAACTCTTCCACAGTCTGGAGCAGCTTGAATTGGGATTTTGGTTCAGACCCAACTCTAATCTAAATGCGGTAACTGCAGAGCTGAATAGTACCTTCCTGCACAAGCAGTGCCACCGAAATCAGTACGACTGCTTCTGAGGTAAGGTACTTCTCAGAATCTGGCTGCAACTTATCACTGATACAGACACAAACACTGGATGTTCACCGAAAGCTTATATTGATTATAAAAGCCCTAGCTGACATGTGAGCAATAATACTCGATTTCATCCATAGGAGCTGCATTCTCAGACCAGAGGCTGCACATGGCTCTCTCTCCACACCCTCTGCCCAGGGGCACAGGGAATGCACATTTATACAGAGCATCTGCTTTGCATATTTCTGCCTGAGTGGCATTTCCTTGCAATGCCGGGCAGATATAAAAGTTTTATTTATGCCTTAGATTCTCAGTGACTGTCAGACTTGGCGAATCAGGATGATTTCACAGACTCATTTGTTCTGGCTCCTAGTGCTCTGGATTCAGGGTAAGAACACCACCAGGGGAGCTATTAGATTAAGATAATAAATCTCTCAACTAGATTTAATCATCATAGATCTCTTCATCAAATCAACTTTAATTCTTCATCCTGTGAGATCACAAGGACATATTTCTAGTGGATGTAGACTTTAATGTAATTAACTGGTTCAACTGAAAATTAGTCAATAAATATTTGCAGTTTTCCTTTTTTAAATAGCATTTAATTTGATTCTCCTAATTTTTCTCATAATGTTTTTCCTCTCTCGCCAGACTCCAATGGGCAGATTGTGATGACTCAGACTCCAGAATCCCTGGCAGTGTCTCCAGGAGACAGAGTCACCATCAACTGCAAAGCCAGTTCCAGTGTTAGTAGCTACATGGCCTGGTACCAACAGAAATCAGGGCAGGCTCCTAAGCTCCTTATCTACAGAGCTTCCAGCCGTCCCTCCGGAATCCCAGACCGGTTCAGTGGCAGTGGGTCTGGCACCGACTTCACTTTTACAATCAGCCGGGTCGAGGTGGATGATGCTGGAGATTATTATTGTCAGCAGGGACAGAGCTTCCCTCTCACAGTGATACAGACCAGTACAAAAACCTTTGTTCCATCTCTGTTACTCGATGTAACAGCTGTTTCCTACCCACTCCCAGAGCAGGCAAGCATGTGCCAGATTTTGGGCAACTTTTGAGAAACCACAAACCACAGTCTAATTTCATCTTCTCATTTCTACAGCTCCCAGCCTGCTGGAATTTACAGGCTGATATATTACAATAAACTCAGCAGCTTCCCTTTTTCCACTCAAGTGTATGTACTTCTTATCGGCCGGATCCAAGCTCCCACTATCATTACAGTACAAGCCAGACATCAGCTCACAAATGGTGACCACTGTTAAAAGCATCCAGCAGGTACCTCCATGAGCAGAAACAGAAGATTGGTGCTTTCTTCCCTTGCAGCCCATACAAAGACTGAGGCCACATCTATACCAGAAAGCTTGTGTAGCCATTTTATGGGAACCTTTGTGAACCTGTGATCAGTGATAGTGACCAATGGCCTCCTTAAAACAAAGTATTTGTATCTAGCAGTTGGAACAAAGTATCAGAGAAACAAGGATTTTAAAAGAACAAAGAGATAGGATGTGCATTTTGACTAATCTAATCTTACATTTTACAACAAGCTAAATCAAACAGGCTAGCTTCTTAAATTACAGAACAAGAACTGAACCAACTCGTATTCCCTTAGTGCTTATCTACACATGGAGTTATTCCAGAATAGCTATTAATAACTGTTCTTGAATAACTATTAACTCAGAGTAGCTATTCCTGAATAACTACATGAGTGAACAATCTTATTCTGGAATAAGTGAGTTCTGCTCCTGTGATGTTCCCCTGGTGTTATCTGAACCGGTGATCTGCTAGGTCCCTCCAATCCTTGACTCTGGAAGCCAGCCTTACCCTGCTCTGCTGTGACAACCCCCACTCCTGGGCTGTTCACGCACATCCTGTGACATGTAAGATGCTTGGATTGTGCAACCGAATGACACTAGCCAATATGTCCAATCCCAGCACAACCCAAGGAACCTCCGTCTTGCAGTGTCCAGTTATGCCCGCTGGACGCTGCAAGCTTATATGAGTTCATCAATTTAACAAAGAAATTGATATGTACCAGGCTTGTTACCCCAAGGGGAGACTCTGACACACTTCAAACCAAATGCACTGCTTCAGGCAGAATAAACAAACAAATGTATTAACAACAACAAAAACTAGATTTTAAGTGGTTATAAGTCAAACCACAACAAGTCAGATTTGGTCAAATGAAACAAAAGCAAAATGCATTCTAAGCTGATCTTAACACTTTCAGTACCCTTGCAAATGTAGATGCTTCTCACCACAGGCTGGCTGGTTGCCCTTCAGCCAGGCTCTCCCCTTTGATCAGTGCTTCAGTCGCTTGGTGGTGATGTCTGTAGATGGAGGTGGAAGAGAGAGGAAGAGCATGGCAAATGTCTCTCCTTTTATCATGTTCTTTCTTCCCTCTTGATTTTGCGCCCCCCCACCCCTTCAGAGTCAGGTGAGCATTACCTCATCACAGTCCCACACTGACCAAGTGAAGGGGGCTGACTCTCTCAAGAGTCCAACAGATCCTTTGTTGCTGCCTAGGCCAGTGTCCTTTTTTCCTGTGAGGCTGGGTGGGTTTGTTCCATACATGCCCTGATGAGGTCTGAACGGCCCCTCTGTTCCAGAAGAGTTTTGCCTGGGCTTGTTTTAAGCCATGAGGACACATTTTCAGCCTCATAATTATATACATGAAATTACAACCTAAAACATTACTATAACAACAATGCTCAATGCATCATGAGCCTTGCGAAGACACCCAAAATGACAAACTTTGCATTAGATACCACACAATCATATTATAAGGATGAACATGGGGGTGTAGGGTATTCCCCTGAGGTACAGAACATCACACCTCCCCCCTTAGTTTACTGCAAAGGGTTAGTCACTATCTATCTCGAAGGCAGTTTGTGTTATAGTTCTCTTGGCATCCAGCCATTAAGGCCATGAGGCAGTGTGCCTCAGTTCCCCCCCACCCAGCAAACCGGGTTTGTTATGGTTTCTCCACTGTGGTAACCTTTAAGTCTGTTTACAGGTATTAATTGAAAATTAGCATTATCATAAGGTTTAACATCCGTGTCAAAATTCTTATCGCCAAAACTTAACATTAATACCCAAAATTTTATCACAGATGTGCGTTTACAAGTATCTTTATGATACCACACCCACTGTTCAGGTAGTGTAGTTTGAGGTGTCCTGATGGCAGGAGCCCCATAGGAAAAAAATGGTTGGGTGTTCAGAAGCCCCCCTACCAGAACCTCCCCCTAGCGCTTCCTGCCCTCTGGTGGGCCCCGCTGATCAGCACCTCCCACTCCCTCCCCATGCCTACCCCCTGCCCCGGATCAGCTGTTTCCCAGTGTCAGGACTCAGGAGGTGCTGAGGTGAGGAGCGAGGGCGCAGCTTGCTCAGGGGAAGGGAAGAGGCAGGGCCGGGGTGGGAAGAAGCAGGGCGGGGTTGGGGTCTTGGCAGAACGAGTGGAGTGGGAGTGGGACCTGGGTGGAGCACCCCCCGGCAGATTAGAAACTCAGCGCCTGTGATTGGAACCATTTACCAAGGGTCACGCTGGGTTCTCCCTGGAAATTTTAATCAAGCTGGCATGTTTTTCTAAATGATTTGCTCAAGTTCAAACAGGAATTAATTCAGGGAAGTGCTATGACCTGTGTTACTCAACAATTCAGACTAGATGATCACAATGGCACATTCTGGCCTTATAATCTATGAGTCCATATTACTTCTAATTCCACCCCCCCGCCATTGCAGACGCCATTGGGGACATTGTGATGACTCAGACTCCAGAATCACTATCAGTGTGTCCAGGAGACACAGACACTATCAACTGCAAAGCCAGTTCCAATGCTAACAGAATCAATAGAATGTGGCCTGGTATCAACAGACATTAGGATAAGCTGCTTCCTACCATGGTGCTTCCTACCATGCCTCTTGTGTCTCAGACCAGTTCAGTGAGTGGGTCTGGCACTGACAATAAATATTCACAATCAGGAGGGTTGAAGCAGATGATGCTGGATTGTCAGCAAGGTTATAGCTCAACATAGTGATACAGATCAGTACAAAAAGCACCCTGCTTTCTTCAGTAACTGTAACTGCTGCTTCCTATACAGAGTGACAGTATCAATGCAACTGCTGTCCTTTCATAAGGAAATGGGGCGTGTTGAGCTATGGGCTCTTCTCCCAAAAGTCCTGTCTTCTCCTATCATTGTACAGCTCTCACCATGGCATATGGGACAGACTACAATCAAGGGGGAGATTCATTACTTACATAGAGAGAGAGATCAACTGGTGTAAATCAGTGAAGTTAATTGAGCTATACTGATTTACACCAGTGGAGGATCAGTCCTATATAGTCACTGCTACTAAACTCTGTTGCTCTGCAAAGCTGCACATTACATTGCAATCCTAGCGCTTTCTTAATGACCTTGCAAAACGCAGAGGATATAGATTTATGCTCTACAAAGGAATAAACCAATAAATAAAACTCCAGAGCAGCAGAAATGTTAAAAGAAAATCAAAGCTAACCTTTAAAAAATACCGATTTCAGTAGATTAATGTTTTTAAATGATGAAAAGAGAGGTGCTCATATAGCAAGATTGTTTGGTTAGCAATTGTCTAAAAGAATTCCAGCATATCCTTATGTATCTTTATACACGTGAGCATTAGACCAAAATCTCTGCGAGCCTACATACACTGAAGTGAATACAATACCAGCAGCAGAGAATATGGCCCATCATATTGAACGTATGAATTCAATCCTTTCTATTATCACTACAGAACATTCATATCCTGGCCACAAGGTGGCAATACATACCCATGCTACTCTGGAGCATCTGAAATTTCAGATAAATAGTTTATAACAAAGTTAATGATAGTGACCTCACTCCACACGTTTGGAAGGAATGCAGATAAATCAGTTCTTCTGTCCCCACCCTTATCCGCAATTCTCTTGATTATTGTCATACCCTGCTCCCAGCCTCCCCAACCACTCTGGATCCAGTCACCATGGGCTGGTGCAGGGGGCCTCACAGTGGACAGAGGTGTAATCTGACCTCATTCCTTCATTGTCACTGAAAATGTCTGGTGCGAACAGGTACCTGAACAAGCTCCTACTCTGCTTCATTCAGATTCTGCCTCCTGTGCCTTGGGAATCCCAGACCAGTTCAGTTTTAGTGAGTCTGACCCTTACGACACTCCTACAATCAGTAGACTCAAAGCAGAGTTCACTATTGTCAGCATTACCATGGTCCCACTGCTTTCTGAAGCCTCTTTCTGTCATTGCTTAAAAGAAGTTCTCAACTCACAAACTGCAAATCTCAATTCTCTGTTTCTGTTGAATGGAAAATATTCCATATTACTCTGTAAAACTTAGCCCAGCCTCCCAAGCTCTCTGTTAACTGTAAACAGTGAGAAGAGTTAGATTAATAGCAAAAAAAGATGGATACCAAACAAACACGCAGATTATCTGTACGGGCTATTTCCTTTTTGATTTTTTCTTAAAAGCCTCACTCTGCTTCTTGTAGCCCAATCAGCAACCCATTCCGTAACTTCCCAGCCCAGAACTTCGGGAGACCTCTTGGGTTTCCATGTGGTAGAACAGGTTGTGTGTAGTCAGTATGGGTGCTAGAGAAGTAGTTTATGTTCACACAACACATAGTCAACCTGTGCAACTCTTTGCCAGACGATGTTATGAAGGTCAAGACTATAATAGGGTTCAAAAAAGAATTAGATAAGTGCATGGAGGATAGGTCCATCAATGGCTATTACCCAGAATGGGCAGGGATGCAAAACCAAGCCCTGAAGTCTCCCTCGCCTCTGTTTGCCAGAAGCTGGGAATGGGCAAGAGGGGATGGATTACTTGATGATTACCTGTTCTGTTCATTCCCTCTGAAGCACCTGGTATTGGCCACTGTTGGAAGACAGGACACTGGGCTAGATGGACCTTTGGTCTGACCCAGTATGGCCTGTTCTTATGCCCAGCAACCTCAGTAAAGCTTCCCTTCTATATCCATTCTGTTGTTCTCTACGCTGCTCTGTCACTTAGCAACACTATCCTATTACCAGTCTGTTC